CAGCTTGGAAACCACATGGTCAACGGGTGAATGCCCGCGTCTCTGTAATCTCACCTGAAATGGACTGTAGCCCCAAGGCACAGCAACAGGTCAATGACCGGACAGACAGCAACAGAAAGGCTGTCCCTAAACCAGCTCTAAATCAGATTATGTAAGCAATAGTGCTGTAGACGCCAGGGTTATCATAGGTAACAGAAACTATGGTCTCACTTTATTTGGACAGTCCACTACAGACCATCTACAGCTGTTCACATTGTTAACAAACTATCTGTTGAAACTCAGTTGATTCCAAACAGTGGTGGGGTTAGGGTTAGGATTCGGATCAGGGTTAGGGCTAGGACCAGGGGAAGGGTTGGGTTTAGGTTCTGGGTTGAGGTTAAGGTTAGGGTTAGGATTAGAGCCGGTCTCAGGAAAATTATGGTCAATTTAGTAGATATTTAGTTGAATGTAAATTGAAAGTAAATTAAGTATCTACAAAGCCGTGTTGTGCCAGTTCACACTGAAAATGAACTAGTTCAAAGTTCAACTAATGAAAATTAACTGGTTCACATTCATAGTTCATTTAAAAAAATTCTGAACTAAGTTCAGTTCCAAAAATGAACTAGTTCATGTTCATTTGTTGTTGTTTTTTTTAATAAATAGGCCACTATTCTTTTTCAATAGAACCTCTTTCTACCCATCCATCACCAGCCCAAAATCATTGCTACTCATAAACTAAATGAATTATTCTATAACACAGCCTTTAAGTCAGTAATACTCTCACTGAGCGCACTATTCAACATGTTCTGTAAGCTACCTGCTTTCCTGACTTCTGGGTGGCTGCAAATCACCAATTTGATGTAGGATGGCTTTTCGACCTTAATTAGAGGCTGCAGATCTCCCACAATGTAGCTAGTCCAGTACAAGCTTGTCCACTTGTTGGGAAACGAAGGCAGCAGGTCCTTTACAAAATGCTGTGAGCTCCAATTGGGTGGGTAAACTTTGCGGTTGTTGCATTGTAGTCGTTAATGATTTCCTGCGTTCATTATTATGTCGCATGTATTCCAGAAGACTGCTTCGATGCTTCAACTCAATGTGTCGTTTTAAATTCGATGCCACACTTGGGTGTTCGTAAAACTGCTTCAAACGCTTAAACAAACCCACTTCTGCAGTTAAGTCTCTACCGCTAACACCAAACATTTGGCTGTGTTTATGGAAGCATCATGTGGCGTACCGTAAAACATGAGCTCGCGTTCACGAATTCATGCACAACACTGTTACAAATCAACTTGCAAAGTGGACTATCCAAATAAAGTGTTACCAAAACTACTACTAAAAAGAAAACTAGCAGTGAAAAGCTGTACTCATTAACTGTAATAAAAATAAAAATAAACTTTCAAAAATGCGAAAACTACATCAAACTGTAATGTCCACTGCAAAAGTAACTTAAAATAAATAATAACATTTTAGTTTTATTGTTTTTTTAGCATATGAATGAAAGTTAGGAGTGGATCCCTTCTGTTTCCGGCCGTCTTTAAGAAAAGTTGGAGCTGAGCCGCGCCGAGCTCAGTCTACTGTTGTATTCACTTTATTCTCTTCTTATCAAATGCCTACAATCACAGTTTTCATCATAGTATTGCAGACTAAAATTGAAACTAAAAAACAAAACTTGGAACTGAAATGAAACTAAAACTATTACTTTCAAGAAAAATAGGACGCTGAAACTGTTGATGCACTTTTAATTGAAACTAAAATGAAATAATAATAAAAAAAAAAACAATGAAAAATTTTAAACTATAATAACCCTGACAGATGCATTTGGTGCTGCTACCACTGCAAAAAACATTTTGGCAAGTAAAAGCATCTCAGTGTAGGCAAATGTATATTTTTGTTTTATTCCTAGTTTAATCTTTTTTTGTTTATGAACCGTTAGGATTGCTGCCTGTTGTACTCTGTCCAATGACAATAAAGTATCTTGAATCTTACATCAATATATGTGTTTTTGTCGCATATACAGTACTGTGCAAGAGTCAGAGACCACCCTTTCAGTGACAGGAGAAAAGTAGAAAATTAAGAGATAAATTTAATATCAAATGTTTATTACAGCTTCCATACTTTTCAGGAGACTCGCTTTTAGTTTTTAAAGAAATCTGCAGGGATGTTTTTCCACCCCTCCAAAGTTCTGTATTAGAATTTGGTTGCACTTTCTGCTTCCCACGATCCAAGTAATCAAACACACTCAGTGATGTTGAGGTCTGGACTCTGGGGTGGTCAGTCCATTGTTCAGCTTCTTTGTTTGATGTGTCCGTCTCCTTTTCTCAGTGAGGTTCTTCTTGATCAGCTACACATCCTTTCAGACCCACAGCGCTGAGTTGTCTTCTCACAGTGGAAGGATGGACAGAAACACCTGTGGATGTTTTCAGATCTGAAGCAGCTTGATTTTCTCCTCTCTCTCAAAGATGAAAGCTTTAAGTGCTGTTTATCTGATGGGGGCAGTTTTGGTGTCTACCAGGTCTTCCAGGTGGTTGTTAGGAATCTCATTTTCTCTGTAGCTTTTAATCATTTTTAAACTCCTCTTTTTTACTTACCTTATTTTGACTTTTTTTTTCATTGTGCAAGTGGATTATTTGATCTAATCTCCTCATAAATATCTCCTAAAAATCTATCAGTCATTAAATGACTTAAATAAATTAAACAGTCTCTGACTTTTGCACAGTCCTGTATATTTGTTGCATATAGTTCTGATTCTGAGATTGTTATAACAATATTATAAGACTACTCAATCTCATCTGAGACACTTTTACTCACTTGGCTTGGTTCCAGATAAAGCTTTTAATCGATATATTATGCAGAGGTTCTTCAAACTTTCAAACTCACACTTATTCATAACTTTTTGTAAAGAATCATCTATTAAAGGTTCTGCAGGAAGCCAAAAGCAGTTCGTCTGTAGCATCATTCCAAAGAACAATTTCGGGCAGCTTTATTTGTAGAGTGTAAAAATAGGATGAATAATCTGATAATGTTCCAATAACAGTCTCATAATGACCAGATCATTATGATCTTGCCAAAATATCATTTTTGGCAGTACATGCTTTTCTACGTGTGGAAGAGAGTCTATAAGGAGCCCATATGTGAGACAGTTGGAAGTAAATGAATAATTAAACAGTTAAACTAAGAGATCTCTCAGTTTACTGTGTCTCAGCTTTCAACCAGATTATGTAACCAAAGCTGGCTTCAGCAGACAAACGTGTTGTTCATGCCAGGCAGGAGGACGGCCCTTCTGGAGGCTTTTCACATCAAGCTGACTTAATTACTTAGTTAAAGTGAGCTAAAAGTAAGTCAAACAGTTGAGGTAAGAGGTTCCTCAGTTCCCACTTTCTTTTCAGCACAGGGCCTTTAAGTGCACAAGTGAAAATCCACATATTAAGCAACTCTGTAAACACTGTTTTTCACGCAGCTTACAGAGGACCATGACAAAAGAAAGGCTCAAACAGTGACTTGACCAGCCGTATCCTCACTGAATTAAAGCAGCAAATCTGCTCACCCCTGTTTAAATCTCCAGCTTTTCCTCAGTCTTTCTTCTCACCTTCGGGAACTGTTCAGGCTACAGCTTGACCAATTGTTAGCACACAAAGCGAAGAGTAACTAGGACCATTTACTCAAGTCCTTGTATTTAAGTACAGTGCTGATAGGTTTTATCCTTTTCTGAGTATATTCAAGCGACAGTCTGTGTTCGTTTCAACTCAAATACATTCATAAGGAAAGAAATATGTCCTGAAGGGCTGAACGATTCTGGCAAAATATCGAATTGCGATTTTTCTGACCAATATTGCGATTACAATTTAAATTGCAATTGTTTATAAATAAGGTATAAAATGAGCTATGGGCCTTTTTTTTGGCTAAGAAGATCAGTGTATATTTTTTCTGGCTTGAGACTTGAACTGTTACCACAGTGATGTCACAGCAGTTCACAAACTCCATGTTATTAGGTTAAATTTCCCTACTTAATACTTGCATCGTATCCACAGTGTTGATCATAAACTGTAACACCACAATAAAAACTGCACTTTTTCTTCGTGTGATTTTGATATAAATACCATTAATCTTTCAGCCCTACTTATGAATGTACTTGAGCAGAAATGAAAGCCGACTATCGCTTGAATATACTCAGAATCCTTCGCTCATCACTTAGAATGCCTTTCTGATGCTAACACCTCTCAGTTCGGAGTATCCTATCAGTATCCTAGGCTGATAGAAGCTGTATGTGCTGAGAAGGTCCACCGTAGTTCTATAGGGAACACAGTCTTTGAATGATTAAGGAGTTTGTGGAGCTGATACTTTCTTACTCGGGCTTGTTGGTCACTTTTACTTCATCAATTCATTATTAGTACATTAGTATTTAGTATTAGTGGAGGTTGGCTTGGCTACTTAATGGTTAGGAGTACCACTGTTACCAATGTTACTGAATGTAACATTGAAAGAACAGACTTTGGCATCAGTTTTCCATTCTGAGGAGACTTTAACTCGAGTTTTGGTCACTGCACTCTTATAAACGATGGTTCTTCAGGGTTCTTTAGTGAAGGGAAAGGCTCTGTTGAGAACCATGAGTTCTATACAGAACCATCTGCATGCTTAAATAGTTCTTCGCATGGTGAAATGGTTCTTCAGATTAGTGGAGAATATTTTATACAGAACCATTTTCAAAAGGTTTCTATGTAGAACCATACCCAAAACGTTCTCCATCAATCTGAGGAACCATTTCACCATGCAAAGAGCCATTTAAGCAACTAGTTCTATTTAGAACTCATTTCCAAGACTGAGGAACCCCTAAAGAACCATCTTTTTGAAGAGTGTGGCTAAATGTACTTCAACTTGAGCTACTGGAGTCCTTATTTCAGTGCAGTAACACTCTTCCAAGAGGAGGGAAAACGTGTTGCCATCATAAAATACACTGTTCTAAACGACTGACACGAACTGAGAAGAAGTGCAGAAGGTATCAGTGAAGAAGTGCACCGGCTCACCGTTGAGTTTAGGGTCTGTTTTCCTGCGACTCCTGTCTTTTCCCCGGAGTTTGGAGAAGGTGCGCTTCAGCAGGGGCTCAGCCATGACTGCGACCCCGGATCCCCGGGGTTTATTCTGTTTACTCTGTCCTCAGTCCGGCCTTTCCAATTGTTTTCCCCCTCAAATGAGAAAAAAAAGCCCTTAAACCCTTAAAAGTTCTCGTTAAACTTCGCTCTGCATGTCTCCTCCGCGAGCGCCAACCAGCATGTCCATCCCAGCGCTGCTCTGCGCTCAGCTTTGGCCAACTTTCACAGGAAACAAATTCCATGGATTCTTTCCCAAACTGTTTTTTTTTCAGCGCTGCCTCTGACGGGGGAAATTCCCAAGTACTTATGGGAAATGAAGTCCGGGTTAGTTATTAGCTGTAGGCGGTTTCGTGGCAGAGAGGGTAAAAATATGAGGAGATTTTTAGAGGCTGAGGGCCAAAATGTGAAGAAAATAACCGTCTACTCGTCCAGTCCTCCGCTCCACCTTAAATGGCGCAGCGTAACTGCTGCGCCATTTAAGGTGGAGCGGAAAATTCGAATGAGAAGCTGGCGAATAACTGACAAACTTCAGCCTCATGCCGTGTATAAGCTTACACCATCCGCGACCTCGTGCGTTTCTTGGTTATGTAACTAACTGGAAACAAAGCCAACAAATCCGTGGCTCAGCATGAAATTGTTCCCCCGGTTATTTTAATGTGACATATGATCGACTCCTTGTGACACGGCGAGGAGAGAGAAGCACACAAGAGCTCCAAACCCTGGCTGAACCTTTCAGAACTACGTGCTAACAGCATCAGATGATTCAGCTGGTATCTGGCAAGTCTGGTAACATATCAGAAGTGCCCAGCATGTTGGCAGAGCTGGGTACTTCCATATGCTGTATATATATATTCTAAAGTAAAAATTTGGGTGGATTTGTACTTCACTACCGAGCCCTGCTGGTGACATCCGGTATAAATAAAAATAATGCCCGGCTACGTCATATTAACGTGTGGGAACGAGATCCTAACGCGTGGCCACGACTTAGTAAGGCGTGGGAATGAGATCATGCCTTATTAAGATGTGGTCAAGGCTTAATTATCTCATTCCCACACCTTACTAAGCTATGGAGCCATGCTGGTGACATCCAGTACAAATAAAAATAATGCCTGGCCACGCCATATTAACGTGTGGGAACAAGATCCTAATGCGTGGCCACGACTTAGTAAGGCGTGGGAATGAGATCATGCCTTATTAAGCTGTGGCCAAGGCTTAATTATCTCATTCCCACGCCTTACTAAGCTACGGAGCCCTGCTAGTGACATCCAGTACAGATAAATAAAAAATGCGTGGCCAAGCTGTGTTAACGTGTGGGAACAAGATCCTAATGCATGGCCACGGCTTAGTAAGGTGTGGGAATGAGATCATTAAGTTGGGGCCACAACTTAGTAAGGCGTGGGAACGAGATCATGCCTTTCTAAGTCATGGCCACGCATTAGAATCTTGTTTCACAACTTTTTTGGAAATGGGGTTGTATTTTATTTTTGCACTTGTCTGAAATGTTGGTGCATCCCTTGTTCACATAAATATAATTTAATACAGGTTTGACTAATTTAGTAAAACCATATTCTGCCCTCTCTTTATCATTTAGAACATGTTATTTTTTTGTCACTGTGCCTTTAAGACTGATATAGGTTAATGAGCTACCTGTTCTGATTGGTTGCCCTGTATTATGTCTAATTCAAAAAGCAGTCCATGAAGAAACACTCCTTATAACTTCAACGTGAATGAGTGGGGCTAACCTGCCGAACGCTGAATAGGTGGATAAATGTAAATGTGTTGGTATTTGTGACATCACAAAAATAATGAATTCAAAATGGGCTGTTTCTGCAACGTCAGATGAAAACAGCAGATCTGTGGCACATCTAGGCAACAAATCGGATCGCCGGCCTGCTAATATGAATGTAACTTATGATATTTAGTACTTTCCTGATATTTTTGGTACTAATACTTCTAAGTGTTTTTGTAAAGCTACTTTACTTCTGCTTGAGTCATTATCTCACCAAATTAACAGTGCTTTAATTCAGTATGTGTTTAGGCTTCACAGTGCTCGTTGGACTAGAACACTCACAGATGAAAATGAGCTCCACAGAAATCTTGGTGCCATGAGAAACCGAAATAATATGTGTTTTGTTTGTACAAGCAGCTCAAACATCATGTCATGAACCAAAAACCGCTTCTGATTCATGAGTTTACTTGCATGGGTGGTTCCTGCAGACCACCAGAGGCGGTTTGAAGCACAGTGGATGCTCTTATACCAGCAAAGTCACAAGTTCTTATACCATTAAAATCACAGTTACGTGACATGTGACACAGCAGTGATATAAATACCCTCAGAAGTCGTCCTCATTCATCTTTTCAGGGGACACCAACTTGGACTGCTCTGAGGAGCCTACTTTGTCCTCCATGTGATGCAAGAGCCAACATCGTTAGGTCGGGTTGTGACTACTGGTTCCTCAGACTAGCATCTTTGCTCACAATCTGACCACAAGCTTGGGCTATTACTGTTGGTTTCCCCAAATTAGAACCTCTCAGGCCAGCTACTAGTTTGGGTTGTTCCTGTTCGTTCCTCAAATTCGCACCTCTGTTCATGATCTAACTACTAGCACAGGCTGCTATCATTGGCTCCCTCAGACAAGCACCCTTGAGCGGCTCCTCTATGGTTCTCAGCAATTTGGGTTTACTGACACCAAAACTAGGTAGCAATTGAAGACAGATTGCACTGGCACTCTGGCTAACCTCCATCCCTCATATCTAGCTGTTACATCTTCTGAGTTTCTTCTGCAGCCAGTCTACACATGTTACAGATGAGTCCCTTTATAAAAGAGAATTCCCCCAAAATTAAAATTCTGCCTAATTAAATGACTGAGATGTAAACTAAGTCATTCAGAGTAGAGTGGTTTGATTGAAATGGTTCATTGCAGACTCTAATTTCTCTACAGTGGTGGTGATAGAAACCAGGGGTTGTGATATCCCCAATACAAATATAGCCATTTTATTTACCATCTAAAACAGGGGTGTCAAACTCAGCCACTAAAGGGGCCATATTTAAAAATCTCAACAAAAAAATGTTTTTATTGTATTTCATTTTTAATTAATGTTGTGCTGTAATCCAAACTGGCCCTTTGTTTATTCAAAATACGCAAACACTTAAGCAGTAAAATACAGGCTCTTGTAGTAGACCTTGAAATATTATGTGAATGCTTGAAATATTCAAAATTGAAATGTCCCCAGGAGCTCAGTCTTTTAAACCTACCTATTTGCTTGAATTAGACACCTGGCTTTTTTTCTTTGCTGCAAGTTCATTAATACTTGGGCTCAATGTCTGAGCTGCTGAGTGTTTATAGTGTTCATAGTTTATCTTTAGTTTATATTGGTTGAAATGCAGATTCAGTGCGTTTAGTGATATGACTGGTGTAGAATTGTGCAGAATTGAGGTGACCCATAGATTGTTGTTGGGGTTGGAGAGTTGGAGCACATTACGTTGCAGTGCATGCTGGGGACTGTAGTGCAGCGCATTGTGAAATGGGCTGATATTGTTAGAAAACTAAAATACTTTTTTGCGGGCTGGATAGGATTGTGTCGCAGGCCCGATCCGGCCCACGGGCCTTGTGTTTGACTAATGGGATCTAAAATGACTGATCAACCTGTATGTGTCTTCTGAGTTTTTATATTGTCACTGTCCAAAAAAATGTATTTTATTTTTACACATCATTTGAGCATAGCTCAAAATTTCATGATGAATGGGCCAATAGAAATGTTCCAAAAGTACTTGGAATAAAATCTTGCACTGGGATGCTTAGCGAATTCCTCTATGCTCTATGCAGCAGTCACTTGGTCCGTGTCCTATAAAATTTCCTACTTCTACCAAAATAGTGTAGCTTCCCACAGAGGACGCCCAGTGGTGTTACCTGAGGCTATATTAATTTGAATGTGAGTCCCATTCTTCATGATTTTGCTGGTATTTATCATCCACAGTGCTTCACACGACCTCTAGTGGTCACTTAAGTGAACTGTACTTCTATGAGTCCAAGACCAGGGTTCTCAGTCATTTAGAGTCAGCGAGAAGATTCCCAGGGGACGACTTCATGTGAGCAGGGTATTTATATTACTGGCTATGTCACATAGTACGTCACTGCATGATGTTGTTGGTATAATGTGTTATAAAAGGTTGGACGGACAAGGGGGCCCAGAGTTTTTGACTGCTTAAAAAATAGAACTTTAACACTCTTTTCAGACACGCTTCCTTCTCCTTCGCCATCCCAGACATGCTTTCCTTCTCCTTCACCATCCCAGTCACGCTTCATTCTCCTTCACCATCCCAAACATGCTCCTTTCTCCCTCATCATCCCAAACACGCTTCCTTCTCCTTCACCATCCCAGACATCCTCCTTTCTCCTTCACCATCCCAGACATACTCCTTTCTCCTTCACTATTGCAGACATGCTTCCTTCTCCTTCACCATTCCAAATATTCTCCCTTCTCCTTCATCATCCCAGACATTCTCCTTTCTCCTTCACCATTTCAAATATGCTTCCTTCTCCTTTACCATTAGAAATATGCTTTCCTTCTCCTTCACCATCCCAGTCACGCTTCCTTCTCCTTCACCATCCCAGACATCCTCCTTTCTCCTTCACCATCCCAGACATACTCCCTTCTCCTTCACCATCCCAGACATCCTCCTTTCTCCTTCACCATCCCAGACATACTCCTTTCTCCTTCACTATTGCAGACATCCTCCTTTCTCCTTCACCATCCCAGACATACTCCTTTCTCCTTCACTATTGCAGACATGCTTCCTTCTCCTTCACCATTCCAAATATGCTTCCTTCTCCTTCACCATCCTATAATTATATATATTTTTAAGGCCCAGTGTTGTTTAAAAATAGTTTTAAAAAGATTTTTAAAAGTTTGCTTAATAGCTTTTCCTGGTTGAAAACATTGTGGACATTTAAAAATGTGTCAACACTGTGTCTAACATGGAGACCTAGACAGATTAAAAAAACATCATCACAGTTTTGTCATTTGTTCTTTATTATTTTCAACATTTTGTTCATAGTGAGGAATTCAGAGGCTAAACACGTAGTAGCCCATCAGACTAGAAAAAAAAGAGATAAGAAAGTACACTGAAAAAAAATGAGCAAACCTAAAAATAAGCCAATGTTTTAATAATTTTAAAAATATCTGATTTATGTAAAATGGACAAAAAATGAACACGGAGCAGGGCTGAAACAGGGTCAGGGCTCTATATACAGTCAGCATAAATGAGCAGGGCTGAACAGGCAGATATATGTAAATGTATTGTTTTTTTTTTTGACCGCGAAATCAGTGAATAGGCTGTTGACAGCTTAGTTTCCATATTTTGATTCTTTGTACTACATAATACTACATCAATTTTTTAACAACAAAAAAAAAGATGTTTTTCATTATATGGGCCCTTTAACAATTACACATTTAACTAATGTACATTTCTCCACACAGATGCAGCGGAGAAGTCAAGAAGTACTTTAAAGTCATTCATAAGTTGG